ACTACTACTACTACTACTGCTACTACTACTATTACGACTACTAATACTACTGCTGCTACTACTACTACTACTACTACTACTACTACTACTACTACTTGTACTACTTTGACTCTATTCCAAATAATACGTTCTACTCCTGCTATTCCAGAAACTACTACTACTACTACTAATACTACTGCTGCTACTACTACTACTACTACTACTACTACTACTGGTACTACTACTACTACTACGACTACTACTACTACTGCTACTACTACTATTACGACTACTAATACTACTGCTGCTACTACTACTACTACTACTACTACTAGTACTACTTTGACTCCTACTATTCCAAATAATACGTTCTACTCCTGCTATTCCAGAAACTACTACTACTACTACTACTACTACTACTACTACTACTACTACTACTACTACTACTACTACTACCACTACCACTACCACTACCACTACTATTACTACTACTACTACTACTACTACTGCTACTACTACTACTACTACTACTACTACTACTACTACGATGATTTAACTAATTCGCTATCAATATCTCTATCTATGTTGTGGTGCAAGCTATGTGGTGAGCGGCGGCGACAGCGGCGACGGAGGCGGCGACGGTGCGGCGACGGCGGCGGCGGCGGCGACGGGCAGCACGGACGGCGACGGCCGCCCCTAGTTCCTAGATGAGCGGCGGCGACAGACGGCGACGGGCGGCACGGCGACGAAAAGCCTGGATGGTTAAGACAAGTAAGAACCCCTGAGTGCAAGCACTGTTTGGGGAAATCGCACGAACAAGAAACGAAGCGCGGGCAGGCAGCCACTAAAGGAAGTGCGGTGCCACCCATTGTGGGGTGCAGGGGAACGGGAAACTCTGTGAGCAAATCGCCCCTGATGCCGCCAAGACGCGGAACGCCGCCACCCAAGACTGGGGGGCACCGCTCCAAAAATGATCCGTTACGGACCACAACTACCTCCAACATGCTTCTGAAGGCTCCAAGTTGCCTCGGATCCTCCCAAGGATGCTGCCAGGAGGCCAGAACCTTCCAAAAGCATATCGCTGTTCAATGACGCTTGCTTGATCGTCCTTTCGCTTCGGATGGGCTTCAGAAGTCTCAAGGTGGTTCCCAGCTCGCCCAAGAGAGACCCGACAGGGGCCCACAAGGGCTCCACGACTGACCATTAAGCCCCCCAAGGCGCCCCAAGAGGGCTCCAAGAGGCGAAATTCGGGCTCTGACGGGTTCTTTGTTTGTTTAGCTTTCCACATGGCCCTAAGATAACCCCCCGCTGTCCTCAAGGCAGCCCTAGGAGAGCCTCAGAGGCATACAGTAGCCCCAAGAACGCCCACGACGGACTCAAGAAGCCTCCGCGAAGTTCGAAGATCGAACGCTCCGCGACGACCTTCTAGTTGACTCCTGGGTATGCTGAGGCTGATGCCGAGCTTCGGGTTACTGCATGCTCCTACACTGCCCTGGTCAAGGCACCTCCTCTTGGGGTCTTCTCTGGATCGGCTGGTGGGGGTACACGAAGCACCAGTGCGTCTTTGAAACCGTCTCGGCAATTCTTCAGCGCGAGCCACTCCTCGATGACCCAGGTGCGGCAGGTTGCCAAATGACGCTGCGTACAAACAAACGCGCACAGGCACGCATGCAGCAGACGAAGGGGGGAGGGCTGGCCTGAGGTCGTGCGCTCTCATTCCTGGCCTGCGCCCGTGGAGAGCGTGCGCGGCGACGAGGCGGAGAAGGTGCAGCAGTTAGAACAGCGCGCGCGCGACGGCCCGGCTCTCCACGTCGCTTGGGATGCAGACCTGCCGGCATCGGCCATCGGGGCACGGACGGCGGGGAGGAAACACGCGAGACCATGGGAGAGACTCGCCACGGCCGCGTGAGGAGGGCAAGGAGGAGACCGTGTGCGAGGGCACGGAGGAGACCGCGTGCATGGCTTAGTTCTCGGAGTCTGTCGGTTCGACTCTGCAGCCAGACCCCTCGGGGAGATGCCTCGCGACGGCCGAGAAGGCAGCGCGCTGCCTGCCCTCCTGAGGCGTGGCTGGTCGGCGGGAGGGCGGGGGCCACAGCCCCGAGCGACCGTTCCAGATTCTGGGATTCGCCCGGTTGGCCTCACGCGCGCCCGCGTAACGGCCGCATGAGAGGTGGAAGACACGCCAGAAGCCGTCCGGGCGTGGGCAGCGTGGGATGAGCTGCACACGGGGTGAGGCTGCCCCACGGCGGCATGGTAGAAGCAACGAACACCAGCAGACGGCCGAAGACGCACGAGAAGACCGCAGGGGGAGGCCACCGAGGCAGGCACGAGGAAAGCAAAGGAAGAAAGCCAGGCAAGTGAGGAAAAAAACACGGGCAGAGGCAAGGCCGTCTTAGGCGCGGAGGCCGAACCTGCCGGGGGACACGCACACGCACACACACACACACATACACACACGCGCACACACGGCACACGCACACGCACACGCAAACGCTCACGCACACGCACACGCACGCGCACACGCACACGCACACGCACACGCGCACACGCACACGCGCACACACAAACAAAGACGAACACGCACACGCACATGCACACGTACACGAACACGCACGCGCACGCGCACGCGCACACGCACACACGCACGCGCACGCGCACGCAGACGCAGACGCAGACGCATCTGCACACGCACACACGCACACACGCACACACGCACACACGCACACACGCACACACACGCACACGCGCACACACACACACACTCGCACACTCGCACACTCGCACACTCGCACACTCGCACACTCGCACACTCGCACACTCGCACGCACACGCACACGCACGCACACGCACACGCACACGCACACGCACACGCACCACACACATACACACACACACGCACACGCACAAGCACACGCACACGCAAACGCACGCGCACACGCACACACATAAACAAACACACACGCACACGCGCACGCGCACGCAAACGCACACGCAAGCGCACACGCACACGCACACGCACACGCACACGCACACGCACACACACACACACGCAAGCGCACACGCACACGAACGCGCACGCGCACGCACACGCACACGCACGCGCACGCGCGCACACACACACACGCACACGCACACGAAGACGTACACGCTCATGCACACGCACACGCACACGCACAGGCACAGCACATGCACACGCACACGCACACGCACACGCAAGCGCACGCACACACACACACATACACACGCACACGCACACGCACACGCACGCGCACTAGCACATGCACACGCACGCGCACCACACACACACACGCACAACACAACACAACACAACACAACACAACACAACACAACACAACACAACACAACAAAACACAACACAACACAACACAACGCAACACGCACACTACACAACACAGCACAACACAACACGCCACACCACAACACACAACACACAACACACAAGCACATACACACAAATGAGCACACATAGACGCACACACACACACACACGCACACACACACACACACGCACTTTCCAGCGAAAGCGGCCTCGCGCGCGGCGACGAGGCGGAGCCAGTGGCAGTATTAAGAGCGGGAACGCGGCCGAGCCCTCAAGGATCGCTCTCGTTCCTGTAGCGCCCATCGCCATACAACGCGTCTGGGCACGGATGGCAGTGAGGTGACGCGCCGTCCGTGGGCCCTGCCCGATGCGGCGGCATGAGCTGAGGGGTGCGCCATACAGCACATCCGGGCGTGGATGGCAGGGAGCTGACACGCAAACCGATGGATCCACACACACACACGCGCACACACACACACACGCACACACACACACACACACACACGCGCACACACAATGGAGAACAATTCCAAGGCAGCCAATGAGGGTGAGGCCAATGCAACTTCATACGGCGGCTCAGGGCGCGCACCGGGCTGATCCAGCGCAGCGGCAGGCGACACTGTTCTTCCCCCGGGCGGCGGACAGGCGCTTCTTCATCGTGGCGGCCACGTGCTTTCTTGTTCCTGGCGTTCGCCCTGGGGGCCAACGCCAGTTTCCATGTCGACTATCGAAAGCAATGATGCCTGAAATGTCACCCAGTTGTGCCCGACTCTGGGCAGAGCAGACTGCTTGCTTGCTATTGCAAGCACGTGCGCTGCGATGACACCTGCGGGCGCGCTCAGCATGGCGAGCGGCTGCTGTACGCGAGCGGTGCTGCGGCATCTGGTCAGCACTCTCCGAACTTGCGGCGGCCACGAGCCAGAGGGCCGCACCGAGCGAGACAAACTGCATGAAGGAGTGGTCGGCGCGTGTGGGGCCGCTTCCTAACATCGACTCGAGCCAAAGCTGCGTGATAAGGACGGGGACGGGGTGGGGGGGATGAGGGAGGTGGCGAGGGGGTGGGGAGGATGGAGGCAGCGGGCGCTTTCTCGCTGCTTCGATTCGGCACCTTGCCACCGACAAACGAAGAGGGAAGAGCAGCGAGGACGGTGAGGAGAAAGGAGGGAGGAGGAGCAGGAAAAAGAGGAGGAACAGCAGCAACACAAGGCTCTCACCAGAAACAAACAGGAACCTCCGGGGACTCCTCAGATACCACCTCCCTTCTCCTACTCCCCATCCCCAATGCCCCTCTCCTCGTTCTCGTCCTTCTCATTGTCGTCATCCTCTGTCAAATCAAAGGAAGACGTCGAAACCACACTCCCTGCAGAGGGAGGGAGAAGGAGGATGAGGAAGGAAGTGGAGGAGGAGGAGGAGGAGGAGGAGGAAGGAGGAAGAGGGGAACGGGGAAGGGGGAGAGGGATGCGGAATGAGGGAGGAGGGAGGAGGGGGATGAGGAAGGAGGGAGGAGGAGGAGGAGGAGGGAGGAGGAGGGAGGGAGGGAGGGAGGAGCAAGGAGGAGGAGGAGGAGCAAGGATGGGAGGAGGAGGAGCAAGGAGGGGGGAGGAGGAGGAGGAGGAGAAGGAGGAGGAGGAGGAGCAAGGAGGGGGAGGAGGTTGGGCAGCTCGCTCGGGGCCCAGGCTGGTCACTCGCCCTGGCGGGGCCTCTTCGCGGGGGGCTCGCCGAGGCCCGCCTCCGGGTAGGCCTGCGTCGCCTCCGCGGGCGGCCCGCCCTTGCAGCGGGGAGGGAGGGACGAGGCAGGAGGAGGAGGAGGAGGAGGAGGAGGAGGAGGAGGAGGAGGAGGAGGATGAGAGGAAGTAGCAGGGACGAGGAGGAGCAAGGACGAGGAGGAGGACGAGAAAGACGGAGGAGGCGGGAGGAGGAGGGGAAGGACGATCGGGAGGAAGAACGGGGAGGGGAAGGGAGGAGGCCCCCTTCCTCCTCCTCCTCCTCCTCCTCCTCCTCCTGTTCTTCTCCTTCTTCCTCCTCCTCCGTCCTTTTCCATTATAGCGACCTCCTCCCTGTCGCGCCCTGGGGCCGGTCGAAACGGCGGGCTGGGCGATTCGCGCCGCGCGCATTCGTCTTAAAACTTGGCAAGACTTTAACGGATGTAGGGCGACCCGTTTTGAACATGTGGCTCTCGCCTGCCTGCCGAGCACATTCGTCTTAAACAAATTGCAAGGGATTCGCGGATGAATGGCGGCCCGTTTTCAAGGTATTGCTCTCGCCCTAGCGTCGCGAACATTCGTTTTGAAAGTTCGCAAAAGTTTCACTGATGGAGGGCGGTTCCTTTTCAAAATGTGGCTCTCGCCTGAGCGCCGCGCACATTAGTTTTTATGAACTTGCAACCGTTTCAAACATTCGCCTTGTTGACGTGCCAGAGATGGTGTTTTGGCATGATGTCGGAACGTCAGGGCGCAATAGGCACGTTCATCTGCGGTGTTGACGTCCCAAGAACGGTGTTCTGGCAAGACCCAAGAACGTCAAGACGCAACCGTAACGGTGATTCGCGGCGCTGATGTCCCAACAATGGTCTTCTGGCACAGTTCTGGATTTTCAAACGATTAATTTCCAACGGTGCACTCCTCCCAGTGAAACTGAATTCGTGTAGGGGCCTGTGAAGAGGGAACTTGGAGGGAGGCTTTATTGCAATATCTTTGATGCATCTAAGGTTTACACTGGTCCTCCTCCTCCTCCTCCCTTTTCCTCCCGAGTCATCCATGTTTTCTACCGCCCTCCTTCTTTCTCCTCCCTCGTCCTCCGCATCCTGCCCATCCGTGCTCCTCCCCCTCCGCCTCCTCATCCCTGTCTCCCTGAGGAGAAGAAGGATGAAGGAGACTGGGAAGGACGACAAGAAGGAGCCGTCGCATAACTATCTAAAGACCGCCCGACGATTCCTACAAAGCACCAACATCCTGCTGCGTAAGATGATCCACAACGCCCCGAGAGGCCTCCAGGAGATGCCCAAAGAGGCTTTCGGCGAGGCTCCCCCAGAGGCGAAACGCGCTGAAGCACCTAAAGAAAAGCAGCTTGCTGCGTTTCCGATGCGTTTTGGCTTCAGGTCGTTTCGGGAAGGCGTTAGGGAGCTCCCAGGTGCTCCCAAGGCAGCCCCATGAGCTCACTTTCCAGTTTCCTGACAGCTCCAAGACAGCCAAGGCTGCCCAACACGGCTGCAAGACGACACATGACGACTCAAAAACTGCCCAACGAGCTCCCGCAGGCTCACCCCCCAAGATATCCCAAGAGGCATCTCTGAGACGCTCGACAAGGCCTCCAGCGAGGCTCTCACATGCGAAAAGAATTGGGCAACTAATATAGGGCATCTACGCTTTTGCTTGCGAGGCGTTTCGGCTTCAGGCCGCCTCGGTCAGGCGTCAGGATGTCCCAATAAGCTCCCTGTTCGTCCCATAGCTGCCCCAAGCGCGCCCCCTAATGACCCCGAGACTGCCCGAGAAACATCCAAGACGGTCCGAAAGGGCTCCAAGACGGCCTCAAAACCCGCCACGGCGTCCCTAAGATGATTCAACCAGGCCTTTTCAGGAAAACTCGGCGGAGTCCTTGAGCCCAAGACGGCCCCCAAACACCCAACACGTACTCAAGAGGCCCCCCGAGAGGGCCCAAACAACCCTCAAGAAACGAAAAGACACACACACCACTTTCCCAATACGCTTTCAAACAAGATACGAATACGAGGTAGGAGCGAAGAGAACGTTGCGCAGGAGCACATGCAGAAGAAGGATCAATACGACGAAGAGGGGTGAGGAGAAGGAGGATGAGGATGAGGAAGATGAGAAGCAATGTAAACCCAAATCGTGGGTATACCGTTCCCTCTCTCCAAGTTCCCTCCGAATTCCCTCCTCATAGGTCCCTTGAACAATGGATGTCCATTGCGGGAAGTGGCACATTAAAAAACACCCATTCAAGAAGCCTCAATCGTGCCAAACACATTTCCTGGGATTTCAGTGCCACAGGTCAACATGACTGCACTCGTGCCAGAACACAATTCCTGGGCCTGCGGCCGTACGGACCCATCAAACAGTTGCAAACTTGTACGGCGAATGTGCGCGGCTCTAAGGCGAGAGTCACACTTCGAAACCGACCCTCCCTCAATCCGTGAAGCTGCTGCAAACTTTTGAGACGAGTGTGCGCGGCGCCATGGCGAGAACCACATTTTGAATACGACCCACCCTCCACCTGTGAAACGGTTGCGAATGTTTGAGACGAGTGTACGCGGCGCCATAGCGAGAACCACATTTTGAAAACGACACGCCCTCCACCTGTGAATTGGTTGCGAATGTGTGAGACGAGTGTGCGCGGCGCCATAGCGAAAAACCGCATTTTGAAAACGACCCGCCCTCCACCTGTGAATTGGTTGCGAATGTGTGAGACGAGTGTGCGCGGCGCCATAGCGAAAAACCACATTTGGAAAACGACCCGCCCTCCACCTGTGAATTGGTTGCGAATGTGTGAGACGAGTGTGCGCGTCGCCATAGCGAAAAAACACATTTGGAAAACGACCCGCCCTCCACATGTGAATTGGTTGCGAATGTGTGAGGCGAGTGTGCGCGGCGCAAATTGGAGATCAGCATGTAGAAAACGACCCGCCCCCCGTCTGTAAGACCGCTCCGATGGTGTTTAAGCGAATGAGCGCGGCGCCAATACGAGGAATGCATTTTGAAAACGACCTGCCCTCCACACCCTTATGGCAAATGTTCCCGGCACTACGGTGAGATTCTCATTTTGAACACGATCCGCTCTCCACCCGTAAAACCGTTGTGAACTTTTGAAACGAATGTGCACGGCACTATGGCGAGAACCACATTTTGAAAACCACCCGCCTTCCATCCGAGAAAATGTTGCACATTGTTCAAAGGAATGTGCGCGGCGCTGATGCGAGAACCACAGTTTGAAAACGACCCGTCCTCCACCAATGAAGCCGTTACGATTTTTTGAGGCGAGAGCGCGCTGCGCTAAGGCGAGACAAGCATTTTGAAAACGACCCGCCCTCCACCCTTGAAGCCGCTGCAAATTTCAAGTCTCAAAACCATACATGGCAAATAAATCTCAAGCGAAACTCCCAGCTCGCCCCGCCGACACGTTCGAGTGTGCGACAGTGAGGAATTTTGTATAATGGAGGGGGAATGAAGCACTAGGCGGGAGAGAGGAACAGGGAGGCACTGGGAGGGGCGGAAGAAACAGAGGAGCAAGGATGAAGGGGATGAGCGAGGAGGAGAGACGATTGGGCCGACGATTGCGCTGCCCCTCAAGAGTGATGTCAACCAACACCGCATTTATATTCATAGCAGGACAACGCGAAACGCCTACCCCAAATCAGATTTCCGCCATCCTACCATTGCCTCCTGAAGCTGGTGCTAGTCGGTGTGGATGAGCAGAGCGACGGTGAGGAGACCATGCAATACACATGGACGATTTCAGAAACCCTGAACCCAAAACACATGTTTTTCTATTGGGGGCGCATCTTTGACTTCCGCCGCCTTCTGCCGAGCTTCGCGGGCTTCCGCAGGCTTCCGCCGGCGGAGGCGGCCTCGTTTTACTTCCGCCGACCTTCCGCCGCCCTTCCGCCGACGAAGCAACTCCCTCCATCCTCGAAGGCAAGGCCCTTTTTGGAACGCCCCACATGACGCCCGGTACCCGAAACAGCTGCTAGCCTGATCGCTACCAGCAACAGGACATCCGAACATACACGCCTGTCTGCCCTAGTCCCTAGTGTATCATAGAAGTCGCGTGGGCGTTCAAGATGGTGACACGCACATGAGAACCCGCCGCAACCACATTACCCACCCTCGAACTGCGCATTCGGAGCACGCGCTAACGGTCTTATGCTGAACAAGATCACGATATAAGCAAGCAGAGGATATGATTCCTAGACCCGGCGCGTGTACAGTTGTGCTTTTCCAGCGCTATATTTTGGAGAGGGGGGCGAGAAAGGAGGGGAGATGACCACGAATCAGATGGCATAAACATCTCAACTGGGCGTCTGGGCAACTCTACGGACGCACGAGCGACATTGCTGGCTTGGAACGTGACGTTGTGCAATCGTTTGTGTGTGTGCGTGTGCGAATGCATGCTTGTGGGAACTGTCACGTGCTTACCTGTGCCCCCGTGTTCAGTGCCATATGCGATCGACGGCTTGATTCAGGCAAAGCACTTGACACATCCACGCCAAATTGCGGTAAACAAGCGCACGAAGCACGGACACCAGCCCTGTACAGGGCAGTGTGTACACTCGAATCGGAGGGTCGGGAATGCGCTTCGGTAGAAAGCCTCCTGGGGAGTCCAATAGACAGAGCACGCCGCGCCGCATTTGCCATGTGTCGGCTTTGAAAACGGGTTACCTAGCTTCCACCGAAGGCACACGCGCAACCACCACGTAATGATGATTTGATACGTCTACGCGTCGCCTGACCTGTTCACGTGCAGACCTCGTAACATGTGCGTGAGCAGCGTAGCTAGCCGGGACCGTTCAAGCCTTTTCAAACCGACGCGCATACCTGTGAATATGAGCCAACTGTGCCTCAGCCTGCCAACGGCTACCCAGTATCAATTGAGCCGCTCTTTCCACGCGAAATAGAGCGAGTATTTCAGCCCGTCTCTTTCCATTGGCAGGCCCGCAGCGGCCAGTGCTGCTGCTTACAAGAAGCCTCATTGCAGGTTGCACCGTGATCAGCGGGTTGTTTTTCTAAGCAGTCCCCCACTCCCCCCTGCACATCCCCCCTCCCTCATCCCTCCCTCCCGCTTCCCCCTCGCCGCGTCTCACCTCTCATCGCCCTCCATCGCCCCCCCCTCTTCTCCCCTCGCCTCGCGTCTCCTCGGCTATGCTGCCTCACCTCCCGTCCCCATGCCTCCCCTCCTTCCACTCCCTTCCTTCCTTCCTTCCTTCCTTCCTCCACCTTCTTCACCTCTTTATCCTTCTGCCTCCGCCTCCTCCTATTATTTCACCTTCTCTTCTCTGTCCCTCCTTCCTCTCTTCGTCCTCCTCCCCCTCGCCGGCCTCCTCGGCCTTCTCGTTTCTCCTCGTCAATCCACGTCCTCGC